TCAACGCAAATTTCATATTTATAATTTGAATTAATTTCAAATTTAGGTAAACATTCCATATTAATTAATCTGCGTAAAGATCTATAATTAACGTGCCTTGGTCTACCATGCCATAAATTTGAAGACTCAAACAAGTAAGAAGAAGATGTATTTTTATTAATAACTGAGGGTACAACGGTCATTAAATTCATTTTGAAAAGGCCATCAAACATGTAACATTTTCCTACATACATCTCATTCTTAGTAAGTACAAATTTATCACTCTCAAACACTAGTCTAAACCCATTCTTAATCAACAAAGATCCGAAAATAAGTTTCTTGCGAATGTCCGGTACATGCAGCACATTGTTGAGAGTGAGTTCCTTACCAGATGTCATCTTAAGAACAATCTTCCCTTGTCCATCAACTTTGGAAGTTGAAGAGTTGCCCATAAAAAGTTGTTCACCATTGTCTACTGTAGAATAAGATGTGAACATCTTTTTGTCAGCACAAATGTCGCAAGTAGCACTAGTGTTCACCCACCATTCTTTAGGATTTCCGACAAGATTTGCCTTGGAAACAACTGCAGAAAGATTGATGTCATCTACACCATTGGAAATATTATCCACTTCGGTCATATGGGCTTTAGCAACCTTTTTACTTGATCTTCCTTTGCCTTTACGTTTGTAACGGCAATCTTTGGCCCGATGTCCCTCTTTGTTACAAATGTAACACATGCCATTAATTTGTACTTCTTAGTTTCCCCTCCTTTAGATAGCGTTTTCTTATGTCATTTTTTAAAAACAGTTCCTAAGAACTTCTCTGGTTTTTCACCATGATTCACTGGCACAATCCTAACATAAGGAGGGGTTGGTGTGATGGCAATCACCATACTAGTACTGGTTTGAATATTAGTTTGACTAGTTTCAGTAGCCATAAATTCTAAATTATAAAATAAAATTATAATTAGAATTTACACTACATAGAAAATTAAACCAAATTTATTGAATTAAATTCTGTAAAAAAAAAAGAAAAGAAACAAGAATGCAACTTTTATTTTTCAATTAAGTTGGAAATAAAATAAAATTTTATTTAACCAAAATAATTCCACACAGAAAATTAAATTTCTGTAACACTCCAATAATTAAAATACTGAAATAGAATTTTAATTAATAAACACTCAAAAAATAATTTCTAAAAACCAAAATTAATTTCTGACAAAATTCCACAAATAAATGTTCTGAATTGTTAATGACACCAGTATATTACTACTCGTTGTCAAAGGAAATAGACAGTATATTACTACTATCTGTCAACTAGCATATAATCACTATTTGTTTTTCCAACCAAAATATTATTTTGTAAATCCACAGAAAATAATTTTTTTTAAAAGAAGAAAGAGAAAAGGAAACAAACGAAAAATTCTGTAAATAAAATAATTCGAATCTGTCTTAAGATTGTTGGAACAATCTTCTGTGTAAATAAAAAAAATAGAAACTAATTCAAACAAAATAAAATAAAAATTACAGAACTTATTTTGTTGAACCGAATAAATAATTAAAGACCAAGTCGAGTGTGAGATACTATGTCCTTAAGACAGATTCGCCCCGTTACGGTGCTTATGGTTATGTGGCGTCTATCACCCAAAATACAATGATCTTAACCAATTTGTAGTAGCACTCCAAAACAAATTGAACGGCAAATCAAACCTGTGTTCTAACTCTTTGAAATTTATTCTAAAACTAATATGAAGAATAATGCACCAAAGACAAAAGTTGGACAGCACAAAGGAATTAATTTTAGACTGTTTTTTCCATAGGATACTACTGGAAATGTTGGTATATAAAGGCATACAAAGGTTGTCCGAACAAGTAAGTTTCTATAACTTCAACAGATGTTAAACCCTTGAACAGATTTAGTAAAGAAACTAGACAGATTTGCAATTGTGCAGATTTTGAATCTATCCAGAATTTCAACAGATTGAAAACCTATCTGGATAGAATTTACTTGATGTTTTGATCAACCAAAATCTGCTGGAACAAGTCTAGAATATATAGACCCGAACAAGTACTAATTTGAATTGAACAGATGCTGTTTGAAAATCAAATAGATCTGGCAGTTACAACAAATAACTGCACAGTAGTTAAATCTGTTCTGGATAGTTTGAATCTGTTTAGGTGTAACAGATTTTGAGACCTGTTTAGACTAATTAATCTATTCAGAAATGATGGACTGCAAGAGGAAATATATGGACAGAAAAAATAAATTCAAATTTGAATTTATTTCGATTCAGAAAATAAAATTTTCCCGCAAGAATTTTGGAAAAAATTCAAATGAATTTTCTTCAAAAAATTAATATTAGAACCGACCCGACCTACAACCCACACCCGCGTCTGGCCAGACGGCCGCGGCGCGCGCGTGTGTGGTGGTTTGGGCTAAGGTTCACTTTGTCCATAATTTCTCCTTTCTACAAATTTGGGGTGCCCTTTGGGGCCCAACCCAAGTGTTGTAGTTTTGAGCTTATATACACAAAAAAGCTCTTTTAAAGTTTCAATGTGGGACAACCCATTTTAAGGAAACCTACATTTAAATCTTTAAATGTCCATTCCATGAACCCGAAAATGGCATCAAGTTCCCATTCACTCATAAATGGTTTTGACGATTTGTCTTCACCGTGTGACTTGCCACACGACAAGGAACACGTCACCTTTTCGGGCCCACCACAAAAGATGTTTGGGGCCTACTCCATTTTGGGCTCAAAGTTGGCCTAAAATAAGCCTTATAAAACACCATTTTTCCAACAGTTATATGGCAGAGAATTAAATTTCTTAGAGAGCTTTCTGTTTTCTTTTCTTTTCTTTTTTCTTTTTTCTTTTGTTTCCTTTGTTCCGTCTTTTACACTCGTTTGGACATCCATAACCAAAGTTTTGCAAAGTGATCTGCAACAACAAGCATATCGTTACAACATAAACAGGAAAAAAAATGAAGCTTTCGCTCTTTTGCAATTCTATTCTTTTCCAATACTCTTCTTTCTTTTGCTAATATCTACAAGACCCAAAAGAATGAATTGTAATGTAATTCCTAATTTGTGAATTGCTCCAGCCCCTCATTGTAATCGCCGTCGTCCATTTCCCAATCGACATCCCTTTCCTCCTCTCTTTCAATCACAATGCCAACCCCCGTTCTCAACCATTGCCATCCATTCATTATCTTTACCCATCATAATGCCACCGATTTTTTTTTCTTTATTCTTCTTCTTCAATTTGTATATAAAATACATGGTATATATAATATATACACACATTACAAGAAACAATGTGAACATTGGGTTTAATCTCAAGCTTTATATTGATTGTTTACTAGATGTGTGTAAAATCCATTCTTCACAGTTCATCCGTGTATAATCTATTATCTTCACCGTATATTCCTCAATTTGATGCACCAATGAAAGCAACAGAATTATGTGAATTCTTCCTATGGACTATAAAAAAATAGATTTGTGGTGTTCATTGCCTTAAAGAATGAGACGAACCATGAATTATCGGACTCTTGATACTACTGTGTGTTTTCATGCAATCATATGGGATAAGATTGTGCCAATTTGATTGTTGAAATCTTGTTTTGAGTTAGAAACAGAGCATGCCACATTTGGAACGGCAATTTTACTTGTAAATAGATAAATATATAAAGCACGGGTACTCCAAAATTGTTACCGTACAAGTATCGGGTACTTCCCGAGTGCGGATACACGTACCGGTACGGCTGCACGCGTACCAGGTACGCCAAAAATGCACCGGGTACGTTTTATACGGTTAGTATACGCCATGGGTACAACTGGATACGTCAGGGGTACGTTTTTGGGTACTCCGGTGTAAAAAATGAAATTTTTTATAAATTAAAGGGTACCAGAGCAATATTTTATGTCTATTTTGAAGAATTATAAAAATCTCGGGTTCTTTTGTAATAAATAAAACATGAAAACAAATAAAATTAGGGTTTTGTATTCTCTCTATCATTCGATCATCTCAGCTTCGTCCATATCTCATTCGAGTCATTCCGAAATACTCCAAGAAGACTGAAGAACTTCGAAGGTGCTAGGGTTCCATGTCTATTCGATCATCTCCTTCCAGTAATACTCCCAAGAGAGTCTGAAGAACACTTCGAAGGTGCGATTGAAAGGTTTAATCGAAGGTGCTGCTGATTGATTCTCATTCGAAGGTTTAATCATCTCTCTCTCTCTCTCTCTCTTTTTTCCCGATATATTTCCATATTTTTGAACTAAAATCTTTCCAGATTTGTTGAACTAAGATCTGTCCTTATTTTATTTTATTTTTTCTGATATATGTCCAGATTTTTGAACTAAAATCTGTCCAGATTTGTTGAACTAAGATCTGTCCTTATTTATTTTTTTCTTGATATATGTCCGGATTTTTGAACTAAAATCTGTCCAGATTTGTTTAACTAAGATCTGTCCTTAATTTATTTTTATTTTTTTTCTGATATATGTCATATATATATGCAATATGATATTGGTTGTAAAGCTTGATGACAAATTAAAATCCCTTGACACCTTAAATTCTCTTTTGTAGCAGTTTATTTTGAGGGGGAGGGATGGGGGTTTTGTAACTGAAAAACAGAGCATTAATTTGTGATGCATAACCATTGGTTTTGAGTTAAGTTATCTGTCTGTTTCCACATTGGTTAATTTCCTTGCAATGCTTGATGTTGTGGGTGGATATGATTGGTTATTGTTTCATTGTCTTTCATGAACTAAAATTAAGAGATACTTTGTAGGTCAATATGGGAATCAGATTGAAAGGTGTTGTAGTGTCCTTGTTCGTCATACTTGTCACTGAAATATATATTTTATTCAATATATGCAATATATTAGATCTGTCCAAATTGTTATTTACATATTTGATGTGCAAAAAGAACGATTTTTAAAATAAATTACATATTTGTCTTTTAGTTTTGTTGTTTTCTTTTTAGTTTTGATATTTAATTTTAATTTATAAGTTGGATCCTTTAACCATAATTATAAAAAATTATAAAAAAAATATATATATATATCGGCGTACCGCAGCCATACCCGTATCATACTTTTTTGGGATTTTGCTGTATCAGCATACCCGCACTCATACCCGTACCGTGCCTGCACCCGTGCTTCCTAAAATAATATAGGCATTTTCATGAATCAATATATATGGTTATTTTGAACAGTTGTATCCCTTAGTTACCAATTGTATCTTCTATACATTGAGAGTATTGGAACCACATTCCAACATACGTGTCTCTTCGGGTTGCAATGTACATTTAAGGGAGGGTTATTTTCGGAATAAAAAAGTGTAGAAAACACTTTCAAAATTTTCACTTTTTTATAGTAGTAGAGATAGAGATTGGAACTGCATTCCAACAGACATGTCTCTTCGAGTTACAATGTACACAAGTAATATAGCATTAAGGGAGGGTTATTTTTGGAAATAAAAAGTGTGGAAAACACTGCAAAACCTTCACTCTTTCATAGTAGTAGAGATAGAGATTTTTTTTTTGTGTGTGGTTACAATCGGCCCAAAGCCAACAGCGCTCCATACATAGAATGGAGCGAGTGCTTTCCTTACTTATTAGCAGTTAAAGCTGTCAACAGATCTGGTGGCATATCAGAAAGAACCACATTCCCATTAGATAATTGAAGAGCTTCTTTTGCTAGGAAATCCGCACACATATTAGCCTCGCCCGACTGAAAGGAAGATACACTGCCAGTATTGAGACATCAACTCTCGAATTTCCTGAAGGAGATTAAAGTTAGCATCAAGCACACTTGGGTTGTTAATGCCTTGGATAGCTTCAATAGAATCTGATTCAATAAGAACCTGACGAAATCCTTGAATCCATGGTAGCTGTAACCCATTCGAAATAGCCCACCGCTCTGCTAGAACCATAGAAGCTCGACCCACATGATATTTGAAGCCCATAATCCAATCACCCTGGTTTGATCGAATGAGACCCCCTACTCCCTCTCGGCCACTCCATTGTGCAACAACTCCATCGACATTGATCTTAACCATAGTTGTCAAATCGGAATTCGTATCGTGAATCGAAATGGCCTCGTACCGAATCGCGAATCGAATCGAATCGTGAATCGTAAAGATTTGGTAATGGAGAAGGAAATGATGAGCAAAGGATATAAGACAGCTTCCAAAATGCGTAAAAGGTTAAGTTCTACACTCTCTCTCTCTATCTCTCTCTCTCTCTCTACACAGTCAATTTGATCCTAACTCGATCGTCGGAGAATCTGCTGGGGGATTATCTCCCCCTTTTGGACTTTTTTGCAGGCACCTCATGTGGGCTTCAAGACCAGCAAAGCTATTAGAAGTGTGGACCAGTCCAACCTATCTTCCGTTGGAACTAGAACGTCATCAGGATATAAGCAAGTAACATTATTTAATGTCTATTTTGTCACTTTTTCTAAATTACTTAAAAACATATATCTACACATTTAGATGTTAAATATATCTTATGAATATAAAATATTTAGACTTAAATTAACAAAAATGTTATTTTGAATGATAATCACGTAATTTAATAGGTAAGAAGTTAACAAAGGTTCCTATGTAAAATCACCATCTTACTTATTTTTTATTTTTTAAATATTTTTTTATCAACCATTCTTAATAAAGATAATAACCTAATAGACAAACTATTAATTTCTAAAGTAACAATAGTTAACAATGATATTGATATTTGGACAATAAGCATATATACTTTTTTAAGTAAGAGTGAGCAAATAATAACAAAGAATTATTTAAAATATTTTATTTTAAAACCTAAAACATTTTAAAAGGTATAACTGACCTCACACATGTAATATTCAATTTAATAAAATAGTAATAGATAATTCATAGTGTAACTTTAATCTTAAACATCTTTAGAAGATATATTACAATTTTTTGAAGGGGAAAAAATGAGAAGAAAGGTTAAAAATATGTTAGGTCTGACTAAATCTGATTGGATACTATAAAAACTTCATGATCACTAAAATAATAACAAATCATACATATATATGTTGGTTATTTTGGTATTAAATGCTATTAGAAGTTGTATTAGGTCATTTTCACTAAAAAGATGGAAAAAATGAGTCGAAAATATGTTGAACGCAATAATTTAAAAAATTGCATAAATTGTAAAAAGTGAATCGAATCGTGAATCGATTGTGAATCGTGCGATTCACTAGAGATTCACTTCCAAAATAGATTCACTCATAGATTCGTATCGATTTTGCGAAAATTGCGAATCGAATCGCGAATCGTAAGATTCTGATAACAGAGATCTTAACCCAACCTTCTGGAGGCCTAATCCATTGAGATGAACCCTTGGGAGTGCAGCTCCCCTTAGCTAGACTAATTTTTGCATCCTCAAATTCCTTAACCCTGCCCTTAAGATAAGCAACTGGACAATAAGGTTGTTTAAAGGTAGGATCATGTAATTGTTTATTACGCCAGAACCACAGAGGAGATAGAGGCCAAAAATAACAGAATCCAACTTTGTACATCAGGGCCTACCCATGGGCAATTCCTCAAATTTGTATCCACCAACTCACCAAAGGTAGAGAAAAGAATCGTAACCACTGAGGGGGAGGAATAAGCTCATGCCATACCTGCTTCGCCCTTTGACAATCCTGAAGTGCATGGAGGGTTGTTTCACTGTAATGACCACTCAAAGAACTGGTAGAATTTGGGCTGAGTTGTCTTCTCATCTTCATAGCATTGGCTAGGAGCCTATCATGTCTGGCCAACCAACCACGCAAAATGCTTCCATCTTTGGGGACTAGAAATTAATGATGCCAAAACTTTGTCCAACCTGAATCAACCCCAGTTGAGTTGGACTCCAGATGAAGGCAATCAAAGGCGGACATAGTTGAAAATTTTCCTTTAGAAGAGTACTTGCAAATGGTTTGGTCCTCATCAGTCTTGAGCACCATTGCTCGCAAAGTATCAATTATGTTGTGTGGCAACCACAATGAAAACTTGGTCCAGTCCCAACCTGCCCTATAATCCAATACTCTCAAACCCGCTTGCCTATTATTTGGTATATTGGAGGGTAATCTGACTCTAAAGTGAGATGCATGTGTTCTAGCCATTGGACTCACCTAAGTGGTTAATGCTGATTTCCTTATGCGTTATAAATTGTAATTTATTCGTCATGAAATTTAGTGAAATTGCATTATGCTAATAAGTACATTCATGGTTTGTTCATTTTGCGCTTTGAGTTTCAAACTTATTTTGTTCTTCAAAATGTAGCTAAATGCCGAGTTTTGTTTTTATTTTTATTTTTATATAGAAGGACAATAGAACTCCCTGAAAATCTTTCTTCTCCTTTTTCTTTCTAATTATTTACTCTCTTTTAATATCAGGATTCTTGTTCTTTCTTTCCATTGTGATACGAGGAAGAAGTGCAACATGAGGAGCTATACTGTGATATTCTCATACTATTATTTTGTTTTTTTTCATTGGTTTGTTAAATTGTTTAATTATGATTTTTTATTAGAAATTCTCTTTATCTATAGGCATCTTTTGGTGCTTCTATTTGGACCGAAACTTCAATTTCTAGTAGCCAAGAGATGTATTTCGGGCAAAACAAGGAAGGTGGCACATTTCGTCTTGTGCAATTCCAGTCTTCTGATGAGGCCGAGCAACTTTATGGTGCTCTAATGCGCTGTCGACATCCGAACTTGGCGCATGTTTTACAATTTACGGTGAGACCTTATGTTTTATAAAGTAATCTAATATTATCTTGAGTATTTTTTGTACTTGCATGTTTTTGGATTGTGCATTTTTTACTAAATAATTAAAAAATATATAGAAAAATTTAAAGAAATATTACTAATTGGTTTAATTGAATCTTCAATTTTCATACAAATTTTTTTGACAAGTTAGTATATTATATAACATTTAACACATTAGATTTAGGCAAATTTTCCAAATTATGATGCATGAGATAAGCTTGGGTGGACACAAGTTAAGTGGAGATGGGTAGCACTCTATAGTAAGGGATGCTAATATTGACCCAAGTCCATCCTCTATTATTGACCTGGGGCTTATATTCTTCATCCTAAGACCGGCCCTATGATGTTTTTGTTGGGCCTAAGCTTGGCCTGACATCTTACTATGAAATACAAATCAATAGCTTAAATTGAAAAGAAAAAATAAATCACTACAACTACCACATGCCTTGATGGCTTAAGTTTTTATTCATATCTCACTGAGGTTAAGTGTTTTCAATATACTAACAAAATTATGTATATGAACATAGTATTTATGCAAACTTTGGCAAGGGGCCTTTAAGCACTAATCGCAAGCCTGGTCCAAAAAGTGTTTGTGGCTTAGCCTGTATAGATCCTTTGAGCCTAAACACTAATTCGAAACACTATGATAATTGGGTCGGGCTATCAAGTTGATGTCCACCCCGCTTTAAAACTGTAAAAAGTGCAAGTTGAATAAAAGTCTGATAGTCTCTTTCGCGCACACACCCATTTCCTTTTCTAGTTGCTTCTTTTTGATGTCATGTCTTCGTTATTGTAGGAAACATATGTCACTGTTGGAAATTGCTTTTTTTTTTTTTTTTTTTTTTTTTTTTTTCTAGTTGCATACTTTCAGTGTTCTCATTATATATTTTTTCTGTTCTACCTATAATTTTTCTCTTGGCTAATGTTATCAATTTTTATTTTTTGGTTACTTTTTGGAGTACTTTTACTTCATTCCTGCTTTAGGTCTCCTTTGGTAATTCTGCATCCAAAGGAATAGATGGACCACGATTTATTATATATGCTATAGTGTCAATTCCTTCCCAGAATGGTTTTGACAATCTAGTGTGTATAGTCGTACTTTTTGCATGTTCATTTAAAGTTCATGCATTCTATAAAACACCCCTAAAGACCCAAAAAAAACGTCACATTGGTTTAGCTAGATGACTTTAGGCTTAAAACCAAAAAATGACAGAAACACCCTTCACTAGACGTCCATGTATATTACCCAATATACATACTTACCTGGTTTGTGTCATAGTTTAAACTAAGTTGTACAAAGATTAAAAAATTAAAGGTAAAGATAATGAACATTATGAAATAAAGTAGTAAATGGAGAATAAGGAAGAGTAATAGGAGGTAGAAGGGATTAAAAACAAAGAAGATATGGTAGCACCTTGTCTAGTTTCCATACAGCTTTGACAAAACTATCTATCTAGTGGTTTTGTTTTGGGTTGCATCCATTTAAGAACTGTATACTTAAAATGTGAGGTCACTACTAGAGGAAGTTACACGCAAACTATATATTTAATTTCAAGTTTATGCTTCAAATTTCTTTGTATGTAGTATGATTGTTGCTTTTATTTTGAGAAATATTATGGATACCCTTCACATCCATTGGTAGCAATCAGTGTCATCCAAGTTAAATATGCCGTGTGAAATTCTTCCAAAACATAAAAAATACAATAAAAGGGTCAACACTACAAAAGAAAATCCTAACATACGTTGCAAAAGAAATTAGAGATGGCATTCTATTGTTATATATTCTTTTGAAAATGAATTGCTACTATTGGTATACTTTTCAGTTAATTAAGACGAGCTAAATTGTTATTTGTATTTGACAAAACATATTTTAGGTGGAAGAAGAAGGAGGTTTTTTTTTAGCCTTCAGGAGACAAGGTACAAGCTTGAAAGACATTTTGGAGAAATTTGTTGATGTAAAGAAATTTTATGAGGATATTCGGATTACACCTTTCTACCAAAAGATTTTGATGTAAGTACTAGTACTTAAAATTTAGTATTTCATGATACAAATAATTATAATTCTTTTAATGCTTATTAATAAATATTTTTACCAATGCAGTGACTTACTTCTAGTGGTAAGGCATTTGATGGATACCAAAGTCAAGTGCACACTTGATCTGTCAGACATCTATATTTTGGATAAGGGACATGTTATGATGACAAATTTCAAATTGAGAGGTATGGCAAAATGTATAATTTATTGCTTACCCAAAAAAATGTATAATTTATTCTTATTATACAATTATTAGTACATACAAGTTTCTCTGTCTAAATAACACGGTTTAATTGCAGATTGTCCAAGTTCAATTTCTGAATGGAAAGAATTAGCCGTGGTTGTGAAGGCTATAAATGAAAATATCAATTATGAAGCAAACATGGAAATGAATATTTTTATAAAGTATCTTGAAAGTGAAAATGCAAAGTAAGTGCCTTATTAGATTTTTATTTTATTTATTATTTATTTTTATCTTTCAATTTTAAAGGTTGATTCTTATTAGCGAAGTTATTTGGGGAGCAAAATGAATCATTTGGATGATATGTGTACATTCTCTTATATTGTAATCTAATAAATTTGGCTTTTGTAGCAATAGTATTATATATGTTTTTTAAACTTGATTTAGGCCCAATTGCAGTAAATAAAAGTTCAAATTTTTACTGATTGTTACACCTTTGGCTATTAATCTTTTGTGTAGAAAATTCTGAACTTGATTTCATAATCTCGGCATGTTTTCCCTCTTTGTATCTTTGACTCCCTATTTAGATTCTCTCTTCTTGGATTTTTGTGGTTTATCTATGAATGAATATAATGCTCTGTGTCTGCTAGGTGTTTGATAAAATGCCATAAACAGAGTATTTGTCTCTTTCTCTGTGTGTCTATCACTGTCTCTACCCACCTTTTGTGTATTTTGCTGTAAATATTTATTTTCTTTATGTTTTATTTTTTTCTTGGTTTAGTTGTTGAAGCCATAAACAAACATATATAGAAGCTGTAAAGAACTTCATTGGGTCTTCGTCAAAATTCATAGCTGTGAAAGTGAAACAGTGAATGACTATTGTACTGAAGTCTTTTTAAATATAAACTTGTGTTTCATATTTCTTGCTGAAGTTATTTGGAATTGGATGATCTTTTCAATAAATATATAATATATAATATTTGTAGCGATAAATCTGAAACGGTACCGGAAATTTACCAATACCGATACATACCATACAAATGGAAAAACCGGTACGTTGTCTGGTATGAGATTGACAAGTTTGAACGATGTTGGTACTGTTAATAATAATGAAATAAGTGCAGTGGGAAGGCAAGCCACTGTCCACCTAATCCACTTAGGATCAAAACCCAACTTGGCCATCTTGTAAATAAGGCCTTTCTACTCTATCATAAGTGTTTGCTGAATCAAGTTTGAAACCATTGAATTGTGCCTCTTATTCTGAAGATAATGCTCCATTTCTGGGGCACTGAGAATGTTATAAAATATTTGTTGTCCCTTCTTGAATGCTCATCGGGACATGCATTACACTACTCAACATGTTGGACATAACCTTCACCACAATCTTGTAAACAACATTACATAGAGAGACTGGTTATAGTGGGTGAACTTTGTCACAATCTTGTAAACAACACTACATAGAAAGATGGACTATAATGGGTGACTAGAGAGGAGGGATTTTGATCTTTGAACTAGTGCAATGTGTTTATAATTCATGGTTTGTAACAAATGACCTGAGTGGAAAAACCTATGGATTGGACAGGAAAAATTAGCACCCACCACATCCCAAAAATGTTGGAAAAAGGCTAAATTTGTGCCATCAAGTTTGATACATATCAAATAGAGCGATTGGTTGCTCCACTTGATCACTAATAGACTTCTTCACTTGACTATGTAATTTGTCTCTATAAGTTACCTACTCGTAGCGATATTTGTTTCTGTCTTTGTGCATATATATTTCCAATTTATTTATTTATTTATTTTTTTAAAGAAGAAAGTCTTCATCCATCATTAACATTACAAGTCAAAAAATTTATAGGTGTAATTTTAATTTTTTATTAGTTGTTTGTCAAACAATTTTTTTCAGACCATTGTCTAATTTGTTGCCGAAAAAATTAAGTGACTTGAAAAATCAAATATAAGTGTTCAAATATTTTTGAGTTTAAATTTTAAATTTGGTTGAGGTTCTTTTCTCATGGAGAGATGCAATTGTGTTATAAAATTTTTGGTAAGGGATTGATAGATGATTAATTAAAATATTTGAATAGTATTGGTAGGTATTTATAACAATTATTTTCATAGTTATGTTCTTATTTTTGCCATTTTTCTTGTAGGAATTTTACAAACTTGTCCAAACTGCCTCTCTTTTGGACACCAGAAGAGAGAGGATTATTTCCTCGTGCTGTTTGGGACTTCATAAAAGCAAAACCTTCTCTATCTAGTGTGATAAATAGCTCACCTTTCGAAGGAAGTGTCAATGTGTTTCAAAACGATCCTATATTGAGGCAACTAAAGCAGGGTGTGGACAATTACGAAAGTCAATTCGGAAAGGATCCAGATGAGTTTTCTGGTTTCGATATAGCTGAAACTGAAGTTAGGAACACCTTGGGCATAATCAGGAAGTGCTTGTCCCACTTTCACAAACAGAACATTACAAGCTTGGTAACAATTTTTTTTTTCCTTCCTTTTTCATGTGATGTACTTTGGATATGATGTACTAAAATATTTGTTTTTTGAAATTATGTTATTTGATAGGGTCTCAAAAATGAAGATGAAGTAGCAAAATATTTTGAAAAATCATTCAAGGACTACATCGGACAACTATATAAGTGGGCACTGATTTTTGAATCTAGTTCACAAGTAAAATTACTTCCGCAAAGGACAATTTTGAGTAAGCTAAACAAGGAACCATGAATGTTGATGTTTTTGTGGTAAGTGGGCTTTTGATTCACAACCAAGAATTTACATTTGTGTAAGACAAGTGTTATGTATTCTGGAGGTCTTGATGAATCTTGTCATCTTGTTTGTTTTGGCTCAATTGACTATCTTTCGTTTATTCTTTAGGCTTCTAGGAGCTTAGAATGATAGCTAGGAGCCATGACACATGAAGCTCAAAATTCGATGAATTCATAAGTTTCCATAAGTAAATGTCAACCTGTGCACATGAATACTTTTTATTAGTTTTCTTCAATTGGTTGAAATTTTAAGCTAATCTTCTGTTTAAACTTAGCTTATTACGCGATACAATCCTTTCATTTCTCCTAGAACATATGCTGTGCTACATATACAATGGAGATAAATGCTCTGGCATATCAGCTAAAATGGGATTGTTTGGAGGGAAACCAGTGGGAGTAGGTGCAGAAGTGAGTCTCAATGGCACCATTAAAGGTGTCCAGGGCTCATCAGGATGTTGTTGGATAGCTAACTAAAGTTTTTATCCATTTTGTCACTTGGGGACCTGTTTTTGTGGCAACAATCTCTAAAGGCGGCCTGTGATTTAATGGTCCTGTTGCTACTATCTTTTAATGTTTTGTAAGATAATGGTTTCTTGAGACTGTGACCTGAATATCTCTTATTGTGAATTGAAATTATGAACCAAAATTTAGCATTATTTGTTTGTAATGTTACTCTGCAGATTTCCTCTTGTGGAATTAAGATATAATTTAAGTTGCCAGCAGCGATAAACTGTGGTAATTGCTCTGCAGGGGCTTTGTGAATTTAATCATGTCAATCCACAAGATGATGAGGATGTAAAAGAGTTTTTGAATGCAAGAGCAAGTGTTTTTATTAAGTGATACATGGAAATGATCTTTTCCTTTCTTCTTCTTCTTCTTCTTCTTCTTTTTATTATTTATTTTTTATTTTTTATTTTTTTTATGTTATGCTTGGTTGGGAGGATTTGGAAAGGGAAAAGAAAAAAGTGTGAAATTACGTGAAATGTAGGTATATTTTATTTACATTTCATCTAATTTTTTTGTTTTTCAAATCCCTTACTAAATTTCCAAACCAAACACATCATTAGGGTATTAAAGTGAGTTATGATTTAGGCCAAGTTTGGGAAGACTAAAAAAGTGTACTTTTTGTCTTTTTGGACTAAAAAATTGAGGTTGAAAATATGGATGTTTGGGTTAACTTTTTGACTTTTTATTGAAAAATGTGTAATAAAAAATTGTAAAAATTGATTTATAGGGAAAATTTTGAATTGGGAGTTGTGCAGCCGTAATTGTTGATTTTTGGTGAATAGTGTTAACTTTTTAACTTTTTGAGTAACTTTTTAGCTTTTTGGCTTTTTTGGATCTTCTCAAACTTGTCCTTACTCACACATTATCACTACTATAACAACCTTTCTGTATGTCATGTAGCATTTTTTTCTCTTATATATTGACCTTTTGTTTTTGGATGCTTGAAAAATCTATTATATCTCAACGTGACCCGCATGCTATCTTAACATGGGAGAATGCAATAAGTCCATTGAAGCATATAAGAAGGGGATACATCTCAACTGTGACAAACCTAGTTAACTAGCTGTCTTGTTTGATTGCTGAACTTCATTGGTTCATTGCTGAGTCAATTGGATATTTAAATTGGTCAACAGTCATTAGTTAGGTTATTGAAATAAATGATTGTTTTCTGCTGTCCTTTTTTTGGTTTCTGTTTTTCATATATCTCTCTCTCTCTCTCTCTCTTTCACACACACACTATGATTATTATACCAAAGCACCTCTCTCTCTCTCTCTCTCTGTCTCTCTCTCTCTCTCTCACACACACACATATATATCTCTCTCTCTCTCTCTCTCTCTCACACACACACACACACACACACACACACACACACACACACACACAATGATTATTATACCAAAGCACCTCTGAAAAATTGGTCATTAAGTTTACGTCATTCCTGTGGAGTTCAACATTTGACAAATGGTATTTGCAATAAGAAGTGATATTACTTCATCCATGAGTTGAATGACCTTAGAATTAATCTGCTAAAGTTTGTGACAGAGAAGGCCTGAAATTTGGTGATCACATTCATATGAAAGCCTCTGGATATAACACAATTCAAGCTTCCACGGCACAGTAAAGCTCAGTTAGGCTAATCACTTTGATGGTCTAAATGAATAGTAGTACGGGTTAATACCATATGTGGAATCTAAAATGGGAGGTGAAAAGCTTTTCGGATAGGCTACGCAACTCCTAATAAATGGGTTGAGTTTTGATCATCTGATAATGAAATTTTAAATGATAATAATAATAAACTTCTCGATAATACTAACTTAGAGTCTTGGCACTGATCCATGAGTCTTCTCATGCATACATCTTGTATGAGAGGGTTTAAGAATGTTGTCGGAAAATTTGAGAGGCCATGGGAAATTTTGAAGATCGCCGGAAAGCCTGAATTCTCTAGAAATTGTGTGAGATTTAAATTCTTCAACAGTCGCAACTAGAAACACAGTAGCAGATAAATGATGGAGATAAGAGATTGGGTGAAAAAGAAGGCAAAGTAGTTAGAGAGAGAATAATGGCAAGACTCTCCTATGGATCTCTCACTTTCAAGGTAGATAACGGAGAAGGAAAATTAGTTCTCTCCCAAGAATTCTTTTCAAAATCCAGCCCTTGTAAAGCTATAGATGGGTGTTATTTATAAGTACTTCATAATGTAAGATGGAGCCCATGTGTAAGGCACATGGGGACTATTCCCTCTAACTACCTTATCCGATGAGGTGACCTCTCCGAGGATGAGGAAAACCTTGAAGAGGAGATCAACCTCTTGGCGAACCCTTCTTCTTAGTCACATTTAACCAATGATCTCCAATCATCCCAAAGGGTCAGAGATAGTCCTAGAGAATGCCCTGTCCCAGAAGGGTCAGAGATACTTCAAGAGAACTCCCTGCTGCAAATATTTGAGTCTCAGGGATCCCTTGGATCGTGCCATCTCGACCCCAGATATAGGCTAGTTTAACCGAAGAATGAATTTATCTCCACTCACTGTCCTTGGGATCGGGTCCTTTGTTTGGACTCTATCACGCCCATGGTTCTGGTGCGTAGCTCCCGGAGAGCTCCAAGCTTGCATGTGTTCTAGGATTCATTAACGGAGCGACTTTTAGATTGCGTTCGAATCCATTCAAAGCCAAGTGTTTCGGATCTCTAAGTACGTGGATCTAGCCCTTTCAAGTCCGAGCTTAAATAGGTCTCTAGGTTCGTGGTTCCGAGCCCTTTCAAGACTAAGCCAATATCTTGGAGAATGAATCTCCTCCAAGGGTTTCATCTCTCCTAAAAGCAACGGTTAACTTCTTAGGATGTCTGTATGATTTGGGCCTCATCGGATGGGCCTGTTGGATTCTCCTTAGATATATAAGCCCGATGGGTCCTCTTTGGTCCAATTTGTTGACTTTTTCACAAGTCCATTCAATAGAATTCATTTAAGACCACTTGGTGATAATTTTCCTGAACCCATTAATTTTTGGAATTTTCGATTGGGCACTGATTGGACCTAATTAATTTAACGGGCTCAAGTTAACCCCCTCCAAAAATGGTTAACCGGTCCTCGAATCTTCACCCGCAATCACAATGCGCATAGCACGGCATATCGAAACATAGAATTACTCTCTCGATCAAATTTATTTCTCTTAATCTTTTCTTAGTCAAATAAACCAATCATTTACTTTGCTCCTTAACCAGTTATTTATGTTGGTTCTAAACTCACTAGTCCTCAATTTGTCATAATTCATATCTAGGAAAATAGGAAGAAATGAAAGGAAACTGGGTTAGGAGAAGAAATAGCATGAAACGGTTAGAAAAAACGTGAACAATCTTCTCTAATTTGAACATATTTATTTGTGTACTGAGAATTTGGATGTGAGACCACCACCGTTAGAAACTTGACTTCCGGGGCTTGAATTTAGACTTAAGAATCACTTAAAATAGAATCTGGATGAGAGAGATATGATTAGTTAGGCTGAAACCGGAGAGTTCTGCACGTACGGGACCAAAACCGCATGTACGGGAAAGCCAAGGCACGTTCGGGGGGCACATGAAATTATTTCAGAAGAAAAATAGTTGTTGGATATAGACTTCCTGCACGTGCGAGAAGCCCTACAGCATGTGCGGTTCTGGGAAAAATCTTGCTACCGAAATATCCATTGGTTCTATCACTTGTTCTTCCATTTTTCAAGTTAGGTTTCAACCCAAATCACTCAAAAACATGTAAAACTAATAGAAAACATGAGATTATGATTGTTTTCTAAATCAAAACATCAAAAATACAATGAATCTTCAAGCAAGAAAGATCAAAATTCTTGTTTTAGTTCTTTTTCAAACTTTTTCAAAACTTCTTCTTCCAAATTCACATAGATCTTCATTTTGTATGTAATTTTATGAGTTCAAGCCATACAAAACCTCAAGATTAAGGCTCAACTTCTCACAATCAACTTCAAGATAAGCAAATATAAGGGAATTAACTCTCAAATCTGACAAATGCAAAGATCCATGTTTAATTTCAAGAGTATAATTTGCTCAAGCTTATGAGTTACAAACCCTAACTCATTTGAGTGTGAAATCTCTAATTTAAGTCTTCATTTTACACAATTGAAGAGGTATTTTTAGTTGATTTATACATACCTTGAATTAAATCCTTGAATTTCCTTATAATCCTTCAATTTCCTCATGTTTCTTCTTCAATCTTGAGTTTCTCTCTCTCTCTCTCTCTCTCTCTCTCTCTCTCTCTTGATTTTTATTTTCCTTTCTTTTGTTGAGTCTATCTCAACTATGGTCCATATACTTATATATATAAATATACGATATAATATTTAATATCAATTTAATTCATTCTGAATTAGATTTTTACAAAATTTCATACTAGGCTCTAAAAATCATGTTGATCATAAATATTTAATCCGTTTTGTTTTCTGACACGTCTAAGATCCTCAATTTTCAGTTTAAAGCTATAACTTCAACAGATTTTCTACAATCAACAGATATAACTTTAAATCGTTATAATTTACATCCTTAGACATGCAATTGCACAATAACCACATAATTAAACTAATCATGACTAATCACAAATCCCACATAATTTATTTAACCTAATTTGACTTTCATTAGAGCCCAATTAATTATATTTAACTTTATCAGTCTAAATCAAAATTTTAATCAAACCCCCAAAAGGCCCCAAATATCTAATTAAGTTTATTTTCATCATCAATTGTGTTTTCTCACATCAGTAAGGCCCTTAATTTCTGGTTAAACCCAAGGTCTCCACCAATAAATTACATACTCAAATTGAATACCTCATTGTTAGGTTTTTTTTTTTTTGGCAAACCCGTTTGACAAAACTCCTTTGAGTTGTAATTTTATTCGCATTTTTATTTCAGTGAGACTTTGAGTGTTTAGATGCAAATCCAACCCGAATCAAGCATTTCAGAGAAGTTTGTGATGATAAAGCTTTCAAGATTGCCACTTGTAGACGCGCCCGCGGGCCTCATGCTACAGTTCGGACTCTCAATTTGTGTCACGGTTCTTAATCTGAACCAAAGAGTCCAAATCTGGCAAATCGTTTTGAGAAACAGATTTTTGAAAAAGTAGTGCCAAACATGGACTGCTTTGCCAGAT